GAACCAACGACAGGGAGACGACTCTCGAAGACCATCGCTTCGAGCTCAACTGTTATTGTCGAAGGTATATCTTGATAACCTCTAACTTTTTTTCGGCGTTCACTTTTCCTAATTTTATCACACTTCTGTATGAGGCTTGATTATTTTCTCTCTTGAGATTCCTAAACTGCATTTAGCCCATATTTATGAATAAGTTTCAGAAGATATCCTGTATTATCTATGTACTCCTAAATTTCCAAGCAACATCCATGCATTCCTAGACAAAACCTCCAACCACTGAAGTCACATAACCAATACTTTATTCGAAAAATTAAGTATAGTGGTCGATTGTTATAGCAGATATACGTTCGCTTCATCGAAAATTGCACCAAAATAATATGATATGGCAAAAATGCCTGGTGCTATTTGAAAATTCACATTTACCCTGTGACCCAAAAGGCGTTCGTGGCAGTACAGCCGAGGTGTTAGCGTGTCAAGCTCACATCCAGCACTGTCGAGGTTCAAGTCCCGCTGAGAGTGTTGTAATACCGATGGAAAATCGAAACTTCAGTCCAGCCTTGATAAGATCAACTTTTGGGAAAGCAAGGCTATGTGAAATTCAATGGAAACGTCAGCTCAACTCATATCATTGTGTGGGAAAATCCTTCTTCTACCAGTCCTTCATCACCTTAAAAGAAATTGGGTGAATACACCTCATATTACTGATTTACTGGTAGTCTCGAAAACAATACGTTATTCGAAAAACAACGCTTGACTGATTGAACAAATGTATTTCTCTACAAATGTGGCCAAAAGGTCCTTTATGTTTGGGGTAAGTTATTGTGATATATATACCGACATAAAAGAATATTATCTATACCGAAATGAAAATTACATGACGTATTCAGCAAATATCAGAGTTAAAAGGTGAATATTTAAATAAAAAAATAATTTGGTCAAAAGGGTGAATTGAAAGTAAATGTAAAATTATGCGAAATAATATGCTAATTAGTGTATTCTATTTTATTGATTTTCTACACAGCTACACCTACATATAAAGCAGATATAATCTTTATCAAGCCAGTTGAAGTAAACGTGAAAAGAGAACAAGAAGAGCAAATCCTCGAGTAAGTTCATGAAACTTTATATTGCTTCATATTCTCCTGCATGGGGGATATATTTTTTATAT